GCCAGCCAGCGTTTCACATGCTGCTTGCATGGACACCTCGTGCAGACAGCGAACGACGGGGGTGAAGGGCCCTCTTGATCGAAAACAGTGTATCGGCGAAGCTCGAGACCGGACGTGGTGCGCACTGGCGTCAGATTTGGACGCTCGACGTGCACCGAGGCAGGCAGCCTTCTCGGGGGGGCTGTTCCGGGGAGATCGACGAGGACCCCGGCAGACGGTGGCGAGGGAGGACGAGATGGGGAGGTGGAGTGTGGAGGAGGGGGGGAGGATGGGCAGGGTAAGGGGCAGGAGGGAGAGAATGAGGGGATAGGGGGTGTTGGGGGGGGATGAAGGAGGAGCTCTCCAGCTTCACGCCAGGGCCGAATGCCGAATGTCCTCAGCGCCTGCCAGCCCGTGCGTGCGCCTGGAAGTTTTCGCCCCGCGGGACCCACCTCCGCCGCCGCTGCCCCTCCAGCCCCTGATCCTGTCCCCCCTTTACCTTTCCTTCTTGTCCGGTGGGGAACCAAGCATACGGCATAGGCTGAGCACCGCACGGATTCCTTGGATCGGTGCTGGAGCACCCCAGCCGACGGCGCCTCTGGCGTCTGGAAGAGTGTCCCTGGCGCCGGCCCAAGCAATTCATGCGTACCTCCAGAAGTTTATGTCTGTGTATTTTTTTCTCCCCTCCTCTCCTCTGCCTCCCCGATGCCCCCCCTGCGCTCCTCCCGTCCTCTCCTCCGCCCTCTACCTCCCATCCCCGCTCTTCCCCTCCCCCTGCTACCATTCTCCTTTCACTCCTTTCCCCATCGACTTAAGGGCTCGTGCGGACTTTCACAAACCTGGCTACATTGTGGAGGACATCTTACAAACGCTAACTTTCAGCTTCGTTTCCTTGTTTGTTTGTTGTTATTTCAAGTCGGAAATATGTCTCGCGCCCCCTGGTAGACATTACGTAAGACATCTGTCTTCTAAGCCCGTACAGACTGTTTCGTTTCGAGGATCTCCCAGATGTTCGTTCCCATTATCTCTCATCCACCCTGGGCGGGCCCGCAGCGATCACTAAAAACGCGCTAATGATGTTCCAGTCGTAGCACAGAGTAGCGCTCACTGGGTGGGCGTCTGGTAATGATGTCTGAAGGGTTTCGACCTCTGCTGCCAGACCCCCACCAACCCCTCTCATTGCCTGAATGCCTGGTCCAGGGTTTCGTCGTAAATTGTTCGATGTTTCAGCGTTTGTACCGTTTAGGTGGTTCCGGGCTACGAGGAGGACGACGATGAGGAGGAATATGAGCAGGATAGGAAACGCAAAAGGAGAGCACACAAGGACGATCGTAAGAAACAACGAGGGCGACATGTATGATCACTAGGAAGAAGAGAAGGGACCAACACGAATCAGATACGGTCTAATGTTTGTCGTGTACAATTTATAGATCTCTGGATTTTTCTGAGTAAGTGCTTGCGCTAGTTGAGGGCTGGCTCATGTACGTTATATCTAATTCACGGGCGGACCAGGAAGAAGGTTATGATAAGAAGAAACATCAGAGGATAAGGAGGAGAAAGAGGGCCACAAACAAGAAAGACGAACAGGAAGAGGAACATGAGTAAGAGACTGGTTCAAGGTTTGCCTTGGACGTGCTGGCCGTCTTCGTTGTTTTTTGTGCAAGTTTTGAGTGGCTCAGGGCTCGGTCGTGTGCGCTATACCTTGTTCATTGTTTGTCATGTAATGTTTGGCAGTCTCCGGGTTCTGTGTGCACATTTGTTCCGGGCTCGGTCGTGTACGTCATGGTTAGGTCCAAGGCTTATTTTGTACGTTTTAGCCGCCCCGCTGGCTGCGACAATAATTCAAACGGAACGAGACCTGCTGGCCTTGGGAGCGCGGAATTGTTATGTTTCGCAGGATGTTGGCCCTGGGAGCGCATATCAGTAGTATGACAATTGTGCTTCTGTTGCTGCTGCTCATGATGCTCGTGGTCATGGATCTCATAATGGAGATTGTGCTCCTGATGGTTTTGACGTTTATGATGACGTTTATTGCAGCGATGATATTGTTGATGATGCTGACGGTGTTATCGATTGCCATATGCGGTGCGCACATCGCTAGGACAATGCAATGCTCATATTCTTGCTGGTGGTGATGGCGAGTGATGATGGTGACGACGATTATGGCTTGACGTTGTCGACGAGGATGGTGATGAGCATGATGGAGCGGAGGGCGCCGACGGAGGATGTTTATGGTGATAACGACGACGATGATTATGAAGATGATGGTAAGGAGGAGGATGACCATCGATAGCTGGAGACGGTCGATGCTGGCGATTGTGATGAGCATACGACAAGAAAAGGCATAATGACGAGAACGATGATGTTGTCGAGTAGGGGGAATGAGGAAGCAGCGAGCAGAAACAGGAAGAGGAGGAGCATGATGGTGAGGAGGGGTGGGTGTTGGGTGCAATTGGAAGCGAAAGTTGAATGGGACGATGATGATGCTGCTGATGATGATGATGATGATACTGATGTTGCTGCTGCTGCTGCTGTCGCTGCTGCTGCTGCTGTTGTTGTTGCCGTCGTCGTCATCGTCGTCGTCGTCGTTGTTGTTGTTGTTGTTGTTGTTGTTGTTGTTGTTGGAAAAGGCGCGCGTGGGAGCCCCGGCCGCCCCCCCCCCCCCCAGCAACCGAGCAACCGAGCAACCCTCTCTGGGGGTCTCCTGGGGGCGCCAAGGATTCCCTAATAGGATTTCCTAGGAATTCTACAGGCTGCCATAGGAATTCTATAGACCCCCCTAGGAATTCTATAGGCCCCCATCGGAATTCTATAGGCCTCCATCGGAATTCTACAGGCCCCCATGGGAATTCTATAGGACTCCATAGGAATTCGATGGGCCTCCATAGGAATTCTATAGGCCTCCATAGGAATTCGATATAAGTCCTCCCTAGGAATTCTACAGGCCTCCATCGGAATTCTATAGGCCTCCATAGGAATTTTATATAACCCCCATTGGAATTCTATATAACTCCCCATAGGGATTTTATCGGCCCCCATAGGAATTCTAAAAGTCTCCATGGGCATTCTATAGGCCTCCATAGGAATGCTATAGGCACCCATGAGAATTCTATATAGGTCCCCATAGGACTCCGATTGGCCTCCATACGAATTCCATAGGCCTCCATCGGAGTTCTATAGGCCTTCGTAGGAATTCTATAGGCACCCATACACAGTCTATATGCGTCCATAGGAATTCTATAGCCCTCCATAGGAATTTTATGGGCCTCCATGGGAATTCTATCTAGGCCTCCATCGGAATTCTATAGCCATCCATACGAATTCTATGTAGGCCTCCATCGGAATTCTATAGGCCTCCACCAGAACTCTATAGGCCCCCATAGGGATTCTGAAGGCCTCCTTACGAATTCTATATGCCCCCCATCTGAATTCTATACGCCTCCATAGGGATGCTATAGGCCTCTATCGGAATTCCATAGCCTTCCATACGACTCCTATATCGGCCTCCATTGGAATTCTATACGCTTCCATAGGATCCTATCCAGTCTGTGTCGAATATGTGTAGGGTCCTACACAGTTTGTATCGGACCTGTATAGGATCCTGTACAGTCTGTATCGGATCTGTATAGGATCCTGTACAGTCTGTATAGGATCTGTATAGGATCCTATCCAGTCTGCCTCGGATCTGTATATGATCCCCTACAGTCTGTATCGGATCTCTACAGGATCCCATACAGTCTGTATCGGATCTGTACAGGATCGTATACAGTCTGTATCGGATCTCTACAGGGTCCCACACAGTCTGTATGGGATCTCCACAGAATTCCATACAGTCTGTATCGGATCTGTATAGGCTTCTATACAGTCTCTATCGGATCTCCACAGGATCCCATACAGTTTGTATCGGATCTGTATAGGATCCCATACAGTCTGTATCGGTTCTCTACAGGAGCCCATACAGTCTGTATCGGATCTCTACAGGATCCCATACAGTCTGTATCGGATCTGTATATGATCCCCGACAGTCTGTATCGGATCTCTACAGGATCCCATACAGTCTGTATCGGATATGTATAGGACCCCTACAGTCTGTATCTGATCTCTACAGGGTCCCACGCAGTCTGTATCGGATCTGTATAGGATCCCATACAGTTTGTATCGGATTTGTATAGGATCCTATACAGTCTGTATCGGATCTCTACAGGATCCCATACAGTCTGTACCGGATCTGTATAGGATCCCATACAGTCTGTATCGGATCTGTATAGGATCCCATACACTGTGTATCGGATCTCTACAGGATCCCATACAGTCAGTATCGGATATGTATAGGACCCCCTACAGTCTGTATCGGATCTCTACAGGATTCCAAACAGTCTGCATTGGATCTGTATAGGATCCCATACAGTTTGTATCGGATCTCTACAGGACCCCATACAGTCTGTATCGGATCTGTATAGGATCCCATACAGTTTGTATCGGATCTGTATAGGATCCCATACAGTCAGTATCGGATCTCTACAGGATTCCATACAGTCTGTACCGGATCTCTACAGCATCCCATACAGTCTGTATCGGATGTCTACAGGATCCCACACAGTCTGTATCGGATCTGTATATGATCCCCTACAGTCTGTATCGGATCTCTACAGGATCCCATACAGTCTGTATCGGATCTGTACAGGATCCTATACAGTCTGTATCGGATCTCTACAGGGTCCCACACAGTCTGTATGGGATCTCTACAGAATTCCATACAGTCTGTATCGGATCTGTATAGGCTTCTATACAGTCTCTATCGGATCTCTACAGGATCCCATACAGTCTGTATCGGATCTGTATAGGATCCTTTACAGTCTGTATGGGATCTCTACAAGATCCCATACAGTCTGTATCGGATATGTATAGGCTTCTATACAGTCTCTATCGGATCTCTACAGGATCCCATACAGTCTGTATCGGATCTGTATATGATCCCCGACAGTCTGTATCGGATCTCTATAGGATCCCCTACAGCCTGT